ATATATATATATAATAGATCCACTTTCTAAAAATTGAAAACATTGCACTTTTCGCGGCACTGCATGCTCTCGAAGTTGACCGAGAAATAACAGCGATAAAGATAGCCGAGGAAAAGCGTATGTAATAAAGACCGGTCTTAAAGTTGCTACAGTAGAACTTACGACACGATCCATCTTGCGCGAGAAATCGATACATCTCGCAGCTACTTTGCTGCGACTTTACACTACTTTACAACGAACGGCCACTAAATCAGCACCTGTCTGTAATTAACGTCCAGAAATAGCTCGCGTCACGTTACTTCTAAAGATTTCACGTTGTCACAATTTTCCGAAGACGTTTTTAAGAGCCATCGCATGATTTATATCATGCGACGGAGTCGGTCGCGTTTTTTAAAATCACGAGTAGAACGACACGTGTTGTGCTCTCTCCATGCGATAACTTGATTAAAAAAAAAAAAAAAAAAAAAAAAAAAAAAAAATTACCGTGGCAGATAATCTTTTGCATTAAATACATGTACGCACTTTTGGAGAAGAATCAAAATTTATTTTTACTACGTGCGGACGTAGAGCCGCGAGGTACGCATGTTGCCTCCGTGGAACGCGAAGCGTTTGCGACGAATTACGCGGCCGGTCACTTCGTTATTATTCATGCGATCCTCAAAGTAGTCTGGGAACTCCTTATTTATGCAGTAGCAATTAAATCGCGCGTGTATGCATCATCGTGCTATTTCTGCTGGCATTATCACGCATCTCATTGCCTTGCATTATTTGACGCGTCAGTGGAAGCGTTTACGAAACTTGTGCAACCTTGAGATTTCTGGAGATAATCCGATCATTAAGCCGGGACGTAACTTGTTTTTGTTATGTTAACTGAAAGTACGTCTTAATGATACTCCAGTATATTGTCTTGACACTCGTACGACCAGGTAAACTGTCGCCTGTAGAGAAAGAAACTGGCTTCGTAGTAAAATATTTTAAGTTCTTATTGAAGATTAAAATAGGAATTAGACTAACGTTTTAAAGTTCATATTTGTAAAATAACTATATTATATTCGTTCGCGCTCATTAATACGTATGTAATTTATTAATACTGAGAGAATTAAACTTTTGTGTTGTTTTCTATTTAAAGGCTGATCAACTCACAGAAGAACAAATCGCAGAGTTTAAGGAGGCGTTCTCGCTCTTCGATAAAGATGGCGATGGTACTATAACCACCAAAGAATTAGGCACGGTAATGCGGTCCCTTGGTCAAAATCCCACAGAAGCCGAACTACAGGACATGATTAACGAAGTAGATGCAGATGGTATATATCCTAATGTAGCTTTTCGACGCATGTCAATCGTGAATTATAAATTATTTTGTACACAAAAATCAATTGTTTCGCACTATTCCTCTATTTCTACTTGCGAACGTTTCTGTCAAACATAAATATTATGTTTAATATTTCTGGAAGAGAACTTATTTTTCTATCGCAAGATGTCAGAGCTTCTTTTTCTTATTAAACAAGGAAAATAAATAATTTCGATAGAATTGATGTTGAAAATCTTGAAATTCCAGGTAATGGCACAATCGACTTCCCGGAGTTCTTGACCATGATGGCGCGTAAAATGAAGGACACGGATAGTGAGGAAGAGATTAGAGAGGCCTTCAGAGTGTTCGATAAGGATGGAAATGGTTTCATATCCGCGGCAGAACTTAGACACGTCATGACAAATCTGGGCGAGAAACTCACTGATGAGGAAGTAGATGAAATGATACGGGAGGCCGATATCGACGGCGACGGCCAAGTTAATTATGAAGGTTGTATTGCATTGCTTGATCTATTAATTAGTATAAAATAAAACTTATTGTTGATATATCGCATATAGAATCTTTTAAGTATACATCGTTTTACGGCATTGAAAGAATAATTGCCGTGCATATTTAATTTATAATTTTAATTAAAATATCGATGTTGAGAAGAGATATTAAAAAAAATTTTTAGATTATAAATTGAATTAAATTTCTAATTATATGTACACCAAACATTTCCTATATTAACGTAAACAACTTTTATCAACAAAATCGTTTTTCTTCTGCAAATTAATGCAATAAAGAAGTTTGCACAGTTGGTTCACGCGTAACTTCTCGTAACTTCTTCGTTTTTGACGTCATGATAAGAGATATCTGACTGTTTACCTTTCGTCATTATTTTACCGAAACCTGTCATATTTTGCAGACTTAGATATAACGTAACCTAATGCGCACGTAACTAATGAGACATTTCTTTCATTGTATTTTTCAGAATTCGTCACAATGATGACATCAAAGTGAATGCAACCTGTGTAACGGAAGAACTCGCGACTCGGAGTGGTGTTGACGTATTAAATAATTCAAGAAACAGAGAAAAAACATATGTAACAAAACGAGAATCAATCAGAAAGTGACAAATCTTGTATCAGGATATGAAGATGTCTCTATAAAAGCGCGAAGAGTCAACGTCCGATACCGCGTTAAAAAAAAATCATCGTTTAACGATAAGTAATACAGGGCAATTAATTGTTTAATTAAAGAGTTATACCACTAAAATCATTATCTCTCAAAACACAAATATTTACGCGTGTATACATACACATACACACATAACAAATAACTCCGATACACCGATACACATAACGAACGCAACACGCTCGAAGAGTACACGTACACACATATACACATTCACTCGGATGTCTTATTTCCATTGGATAAAACAAGTTTGGAAGTGAGATAACGCGAAGACACACAATTGCGCGCGCATGTGCACCAACGACAAGAAAAAAAAGTGCATTTTCCACTTTCCTCTCTTTCTCGACTGCCCCTCCCCTTCCTCCCCTCTCTTCTTGTCACGCCCTTCAGCACCATCGCCCTTCCCCTCCTTCTCTCTACGCCTCCATCTATCCTCCTTCATTTCCCGGAAGTTTTTTCATAAGAATGGCATGTCGAAGAATTGTAATTTCTCTTTACAAAGGGAGAGGAAATGTGTGTTAAGGGACAAAGTATAAATCCGATGTAAGATAATATTAAAAGCAGCAAAGGTTTATTTGCCAATCGAGAGAAAGATTCATCTCGAGAATTCCTTCGTTCATTTTTTTTAATAAACGAGATACGTGTATAGTGAATGATGACATTAGGATATGTAGCTGCTAAATAGATGATGATGTCTCTACCGTTAAAAATGCATGCACATGTACAAATGTTTGTTTGTCTCTGTGAGAGAGAATTCGGCCTGGACCGATCGTTTTCGAGACAGAGAGAAAGAGAGAGAGAGAGAGAGAGAGAGTATAAATACGATGCGCTTCGGCCTCTGGGTTATTGATGACGACTTTAAATGCAAAAGCTGTGCTGGACCCCTCGATGCCTCACGAATAACTTAATTTATATAAGTAACGAGCGAGAAAATTTATAAAAAAAAAAAGAGATGAAAGAGCGAGATGAGATAATGGGAAGAAAGAATTGGAGGAGAAGCTTCGAGGAGCTCAGACCTAGTGCTTTCGCGCGCGTCGCGTCTCGCGAGACGGGATATGATCTGTCGTGTGGTTGACGTCGCGCGAACGCGGACGAGTCGCGACGCGATCGATGGAAAGCTCCAGGATCCGAAGTCTCGACATTCCTATTTGAAAAAAAAAAAAAATAAAAATAAAAAAGAAAAGTCTCTTCCTTACGCTTTGAATCAACATCATCCAGCCTCTCGTGCTCGTGCACACGGGACTCACACGTACACGTAACGTTTTACGAACTATACTTACGCGAGAAACTATACACACGAAAGATTATACACACAGAGCAAAAAGAAAAAAAAGAGAAACACTATAATACTATATTCACGAAGTGCGTTTTGCCTCCAGTTCCATTTTAATCTCCTATTTGTAAACTTGCCTTCCACTCTAAGGGAAAGCCTTACATACATGCGCGCAAAAAAGATTTAAAAAACGAAAAAAAAAAAAGAGAACGTCGACACCACTTTTGTTGATATGTAAATCTATGGAGAAATAAAATAGGGATGGGGGATTAAAGGAAGTAAAGGCCACAGTGAGATCGGTGCATTACTTTTCTTCGCCCAGGGGTGCGTGCCAGTCTCGTAAAAACGGAGCCAACCAGATCGGAGAAACTGGTGTGATTTTTGTGCGATCCGTACAATATAATGTTACTTAAGAACTTGAGAGCAAAGAACATAAATGCCGTACAGCGTAAACATCATGCGTGTCGGTGGTTCAGTCATAATATATATGTAATATATATATATATATATATAAAATAATTTACGAAGAAATTAAGAAAAAAAAAATGAAAGAGATAATTCCTTCACAGTCCTTTATTATTTAATATTGAAGTGAACAAAATGAGAAGTACTTGTATTTCTGGTGACCTAGATCGCATTGATCATTAAACAAAAAAGAAAAAAAGATTAAAAAAAAGTAAAAAAGATAAAATAAATATATCCTCATTTTTAGGTCACAGCTACTCGATTCGTTTCCTTCATTACTAATGGACCTCTCGTTTCAGCAACCATCTCTTTTTGTGTTCGATGGCATCTAGATACTTTGCTATGAGAATATTTCATTGTGTCTCTGTGAACAGGATCCACTTTACATATCTCTGACTTTTCTCGCTACCCTCGAAAACTTTTGAGAAGAATAGATATAGGTTACAAGAAAGTACGGTATTAATTGTAATTAGGAACTCGCTCCCCATTAAACACCCGAAAAAAAAATAGGGGGAGAGAAAAAAAAAGCACACATTGGATCTATGTAAACTGTGGTTATTCTGTGTCCTGAAGTATATTTCCACACTTACACTCTTTATTAAGAATGAGAAAGATTTGTCAACACACTCGTTTTGTAAAAGTGGTCGTTAGTATTCGACAGGCATCTGTATCTAAATGCTTCCAAATCCGCTTCGTTTCATCGAACACTGATACCTAGCGATTAAGTCTCTTACGTTACAAAGACTCTATTCCAGTATTTAATATAATAGTAATTTTATATCCGTATCGCAAAATCTATTTATTGAAAGAATTTTCGCGCGCCGAGGATAGATAGATAGAAAGAAAGACAAAGCGAGCGAAAGAAAGAGTGGCGCATGGAAGCTCTTGTTGTGAACGTTAACATCGAGGCAATGCCAAATCTTTACTGAATAATATTGAAGCGTTAGCTCTTCTAATATTTAATTTAGCGTCCCCTCGATCTTTGTTATTGAAATATACGTTGTTGTTCTTAAAAAAAAATCGTATACCGTATTTGCGGAGGTACCAAGACACATCCTGCTTTTATCAAACGTTGTATTTATTTCGATGTGTACATATAAAAAAACGTAAAATTGATCGACGAAGTGAGTTTTCGTTCGATTATGCTAATCGCAATTTTTTAAACAAACAAGTTCGTTGCGCTATAAACAAAGTGAGAACGTTGTACGTTGCAAAATGAGGAAATACTTTTTTTTAATCAGATTATTTCGAGCATAGAGCTCTTTTCTTTTTTATTACTTTAACCAATTGTAGTCATTCAATTTTAACGCTCCTTAATTTCTCAGAACTTCTAATTCGAAAATTGTTTCTAGTGTATGTAAGTATATTCTCTGCCGTATCTCAAAGGCGTTCTTCACTTCTTGTCGTACATAAATAAAGCGGCACAGTTTGTATAAAGTGTTGATATTAAGTTAATAAATTGTTCCTATATACTTATATGGGAGCAAACTGGTGTTTATCTATAATACAAGCGATTTTATCTCCCTGACAAAAACAGCCAAGTGTATCTGACGTGACGGAAAAACTCTTACGATACACACGACTACGGAGAAACTTTGCAACTGCGTCATTCCGTGCAATTATGCGTCTATATGAAGAGATAAATTACGTATTGTTTTCGTATAATTACTCTTCAACAATTAACGGGCGAACTTACACAAGATGTAGAATTGTCTTACCGAGAGATAAAACAGAGAAACAGTTTTTATTTTATTTTTATTTTTTTTGAAAAATACTATATTTTTCATACATGATTTTTTTTAAACTCGTGTAACATAATAACAAAATTCGATGATTATGCAGATATGTTTTGCTAGCAGTGAACAATGCGTGCTCTCACGATATACATTCTTTTGGTGGAACTTTGAAACGCAGGCACACCTCCTTCAGTAAGTTTTTCAATATCCTCACCTGATGCTCAGAATTCTGAAAATATATGGATATCATTTACTTACTTTCGACACATTGACTTTTTGAGTTAATATTTTATTTGTCGTACAAGTTTTTCAAGTATGTTAATTGATCACAAGATAGATAGATAGAGAGAGAGAGAGAATGTCTAGAAACTGTAATTTTTTTCCTCTATTCTGTAGCTAATCAGCACGTTTAAAAAATTTATCGTACGACATGAATAAAATATTAACGTTATACTTTATTTAGCGTCACGAAACGAATACTCACCCCGTCAAGAGTAATTGTTGGTATGAAAGACACCCGCGGTACGAGGGAATTGGTCATTTCTCCGTACTTTGCCAGGAGTTCCTGCCCTCTTCCAGTGTTTGAACACTTCTTTATAGACTCCAGATCAACGGCTATTCGCTCGGCGCACGTTTTCATTATCCGTATCGGGTCAATGTTATTCTCGATCATGCAGGCCACAAATTGCAGTTGTGCCGATGGATCCTTAATGACGTCGATGGAGCAAGCGTGTATAATATTCGCCTGACACTCGATCGGCCCGTGCTGGCATATGAACTGATACCCATCACTCGTTTTTGTCGTCTGTTGGAAATCGAATACGTAACTTTAGAAAGCTTGCCGTTTAACTCGATCCACTGATCTAATTGTCGATTAATGATTTCATTCTCGCGATATATTTAACCGCATTAATTTAAAAATATAACGCGGTTAATAACGAGTTTCCAAGTAAAATATAGAATCGTAATATCACAGAGCATCAACACAGCTTACACATATAAACAAGTGTAGAACATCATGAATATCATGACCTTATTTATCATTTATAAGTTTACTTATATATAAATGATAAATAAGGTCATGATATTCATGATGTTCTTATGATATTGATTTCTGTGTTTTACCAGGATCGCAACGATTTTCTTACCTTCGCCTTACCATACGGCACCAGCTCAACCTCTATGTTCGTCAAGAGTTTTTGATACGTTGGATTTAATTGTTTTAAAACGAAACTGCGCGAATCCGGGCATAACGCTTCGTAATACACAGCCACATGTACTTTCTGAGGAGCCGGTCCATCCTTTTCGCTCAATGGTGTCGCCGCTTGGTCCTGAAGTTCTACAATTAAGAAAAGAATGAAAGATATTAAAAGATTTTGATTTGAAAGTATTCTGAGATGTCTGATATCAATTAAGTGCTTTCAGGATTTTTTAATTTTTAATTTTCAATTTTTATCACTGTTGAATAAACAATTGTTACCTCGATTATTTGGAATTTTGCGCGAGAAAAATTGTGAATTGTTTTTAAATTCTACGTAATATTTCAATATTCAAGAGACATTCCGAGTTTATGGTATTCGATAATTTTTCATAAGAAAGAAAATTGCAACATTATTTTTATATAATAATTTCTAATACAAGCCGTAATTTCTGCGAATCATTGCTTATCTTGTAATCAGGACAATGATAAGTGGGAACTTGGATTTTTTTTGTTGACTGACGTGAGCAGCGTGATTATCGTATATATTTAGATTGATTTTTCTAATGCGTTATGTTTCTATTCGATTTTTCCTCTATGTGGTTCTCGTTCGTTTCAGTTTAAAAATACGAATAAGGTGGTGTATAAATTAAATAATAAACACTTTCAAGATTCTTCACTTTTTAATAATCTGTATTTATTATCTGATAAAACAAAAATCATTATTTCGAGCTCGTGGTATCCGAGACTTAGGCTTGTTTTTTTTTAATCAAAAAAACTTTGAATTACCGTAAACAGTGCAATAAATTGAGGTGAAATAAACCATATTTGTCTCATTCCGGCTTACTACTTCGACGTGTACCAGTTTAAAAAGTTCATCCATAAAAAGCATATCAATTTGCATATCAATTTTAGTACTTTAGGATATTTCGATTTTAGTACTTAATTTATATCACTATGAATAACGATTGTTACTTAGGTTTTTTGGGATCGTTCAATGTGAGAAATTGTAAATTCTTTTTACAATTTCAATCTCAATTTCAATACTTAAAATATGAAGCGCCACTACGGTCTGAATGTTAAGATGTTGAACTATTATATATATTTATTTAAATGAATTAATTTCAGAAATTATAATTGCGTATTTTTCGCAATAAGTTTATTACAGTTTTTTAAGATTAAATTTGGGAAATTCGGGGGATTATTAATATTTCAGATTGATTGCGTTTAAAGTCCGATAACCATATCGACACGCAATTATAATTTCTGAAATTAATTCATTTAAATGAATATATATAATAGTTCAACATTTTAACATTCAGACCGTATTGGCGTTTCATATTTAAAGTAATGTATCTAACATAAACGGTCTTATTTCCAATCTTATTATTGTTCAAATTCTACATAAAATTTCAGTGCTCGAGAAATGTCCTCATTTTCTTTCTGCAAGAAAAAAAATCGCGATTTTTTTTTTATTGTTAGATCATAATATTTAATCATGCGTACTTTGCATCTGTCCTACAGTTCCGATCACAAGGATTTTCAGCAATTAGATTCTTAACAATTTGACAGATGTTACACAAACTGTGAGCGATCGCGCTTCAAAACTCGGCAAGTGGAGGTTTATAGCAAATTTAATTAGCACTTATACACATGAAATGTGTTGTAATGCATCTAATTGACATTGTAGAGTTAATACACTACATTTTAATCCGAATGTAAAGTGAAATATTTAGGATTATAAAATATATATTTTATCTAACAGCACAATCTCATGAAATATATACCAAATCAAGAAAAAGTTAAAATACATATTTGAAATTGAAAAGACATATTTTGATGTTTTTTATAAAATTTGATTTTTATTTATTGACTTTAAGCATTAAAATATAAAATACAATTTGATGCCATTTTGATTTTTTTTTATCGACTCTTGTGTATTCCTTGGAATAAAGTGTATTCAGAATTTCATGTTTTAACTTGGTTTCTATATTTTATATATATATATACACACACACACACACACACACACACACATATATATATATATATATCTTTATAACGCATATCTTTACATTTTTTGTACGACGACTTTAATGTGCTTACTGCGTTCAATCGAATTTGCTACAAATTTAGACGAAAAGATCGCGCCACTTAAAAAATCTCAGATATAACGACTCAAACAAAACGACAAGTCATCGTGATATCAAAATGATGTCAAAATGATTCTCCAACATGATCATTAAAAGTCATTTTTCAATCATTCACGGTTCATTTTCATATCATTTTGACGTTATCGTGAATTGTTCTGCTTGGAGATGTGCTCGTCGAACGGCAAATTGTGCAATGAGGTAATCACGAAAAATCTGGCTAGAAATATCAATCTGTGGCCTTCGATTGTGAGGCACGTCGTTTTTATCGTTCCAATGTATTGGAATAATAAAAATACATCTGTGCGATGCAGATGTTCCGTAAAGTGCATGATGTGCACAATGTATCGTTTATCCTTATTTAACATTCGACGAAATAATGCATCATGTGCTTTACGGAATACAGTCAGAGTCGCATGAATTGATATCGGATCATCGGACTACAACATTGGAAAAAGTCTTGTACTAATTGGAACTCTGAACAAATCCGAATTTTCTGATTAATAATCTAATAATATAATTCTAGCTGAGACAACCAAAATTCAGACTGATATATCAGAATCTTCTATTCGATTATTCGCTTTATCGATCTTTTACTAATTCTTGGAATTAGAAAGATATGTGAAGCTAATTGAATCTGGATTAAACTTAAACTACCGTTGGTAGAAACGGGCACTAGTAAAAAAAAAAAAACGATAATTCCTCGAATTTTTCGAAAAGATACGGCTTTGAGAAGCGTCTATTAAAGGCCTCTTGCAGAGGATCGACCGAGCATTGTAAAACTTTCTCTGTAGAATATATGAAAATTGAAAAGTAAAAATTTGTTTGCATGTATGTGTGGGTATATACGTACATACATACACAAGAATTTTCACGTTTTCGTAGGGAAACAAAGTACGTGACGATTGCTGAGATTTAACGCGCGCCGTTAACATTCCTCGTCGCGCTAACGTGCCTCGCGTATGCCTGCTGACAAAAAAAGAAAATCGATTTGTCGAACTCGCGCGAATCCAGACAGGTGGAGATCGAGCCTCGAAGTGCGCGCGACATGCCCGCCGATTGCCGCCTGTTCGACGATTCGGGATTCGGCGGCCTGTTCGACGGCGACAGGTAGCTGTGGGGTAAGGCTGTGGGGTAAGGCTGTGAGGTAAGGCTGTGAGGTAGCGACAGGTGCAAAAGGCACCTATGGGAGAGAGGAAGAGCGTAGCGCGCGCGGCGCCTCTCGTTACTTCGTACCTGGCATGGCGGCGCCGTCCTCCAGGAACGCGAGCCAGATCTTGGAGGTCTGCCAGAGCAACAGACCAAGAACCAGAAGGAACACGAGGCGCCATCGAAAGCCTAACCCCATCGTCCCGACTGTTATCGCGACAAGAGACACACACGACTCTTCGCGCGGCAACGACGGCAACGGCGGCGGCGGTGACGCCGCGACGGCGATCTCGTTAACGCGAGCTGACGCAATGTTTTCTAGTATGAAACGCGCCGGCGGCGACGGCCAGCAACGGCCGACATTGCGATTCGACACGTTGGGACGCGCGCGAAATAACGGCGGGACGTTCTGTTCTGGTCGATTGATCCGAGTCAACCGAGTCCTCCGTTCTCGGCACTCTCGCGGCAATTTGACCAACGCCACGCGTGCCAACGGGATTTAACGACCGCGACTGTATCAAATCGAATGTTCTTTCCTTGTTTTCGTTATTTTTTGTCACCTTTTCTCGCAGCATCATCACACGCAGCGTCCGCAGTGATGCGAGCACTCGTGCAGACGTCAATTACATTAAAGCCCCTATTGGAGAATGGAGTTTGGAATATTCGAAGATTTTGAAGTAATAGGGCATTGAGAATTGCCGAATCGGAATCGTCGGAAAGTAGATCTTCACCAATCAGATAACTTTGAGCTCGGTCTGCGTTGTATCGATTGAGCGAATTTTAATTTCCGATTCTCGTGAGTTTCCTTGATCTTCGAAAATATTCTTCTTACTCAGGTTTACGTTTTATTCTTTTCCAATTTTTGTATTTATTTTTTCTAGACATTCTATTTATTTTCTTGACTGAATACTGTTCTATAATAATAGCAAATTCTCGATCGTTTGTATTCACTCTTTCCGAGGTCACGAAACTTCATTAATTAAAATTTTACATTTCTAAAAGTATATTAATAAGAATTGTCAATAAAAAATTATGTTATACAAATTTTATGGTGTTATTAAACACCAACACTTGACGTATAAAAATACCTTTTTTAAAAAAGTATATACATGTTTTTTCTTGTAATTCAGATATGAATTTTATTATATTAGATAGAGATGGTCCATCAATTATCACTCAATTGAAGAATTTTCCATTGAAAATCCTATTCTGAATAGTACAGCACATTTATATTCGGTACATATGCTAATAAATGTACTCAAGTATACATTTATTTATAATGGCAGCACGTTTTAAGAGAGGAAACCCCACAAGTTTATTTAATTTTTTTGTAGTAATTTGTTAATTTCATTAATAATTTGATTAATAAAATATACATCGAGTTTCTGTGATTAATAAAGATTTTAGTAATAATAGTGATATATGGGTAATTTTAAAATGCAGATTGTCGTAAGGAAAGTAAAGTAGATACAATATAGGAAGTAAATAAATAAGTTTTTTAGTGAGATAACAAATTACTTAAATGCACTTACAATTAACTTCTAAACAAATTATGTATTATAAATACACTTCGTTATCGTTTGTAAGAATATTATAAATAGTACAATGACTCTAACTTTATAATACTATAAAATTTTTTTATTCTGTTATATATAAAAAACTACACACACACACACACACATACACGAATGGAATATAAATATATCAATAAAAAAGAATAGAACATCTTTGTATCATATATGTACAAAAACAATAGAAATATTAATTATTATAGATTCACAAATCATGCGAGCAGAGGATTTGTACTGATTACAATTACATGTCAAGAGTTTATTTAAAGTTCAAACAAATAATTCACGAAAGAATAAGAACTAATTCTATGAAAATGAATATTAAAATCGCGTAAATCTTTTATATAGTTTAGAATAAAACAATTTTATTTTTACATTTAATTTTTTAGTTCTTTTTCATTATATATATTTACATATTAAAATTTTCTTCGAGAGAGCAATATGATGATTATAAACTAGTATAAAGGTTTTTAACGAGATCTCGCAGAAGATCATAATCACTTTAATTTTAATATTGTCCAGATATTACAAAAATCTGATAAAAATACAAGATATAACTATATTGCTTCAGAGACGGTCAACAGTTGTCGCCAGCGTCTCATACCTAAAACATATTTGGGTGAAATGTAACAAAATTGATAATTTCGCAATTATATAATTGCGACTATTGCACAAAAACTTTGACATAATCATTATTTAATACCAAATCATATAATTAAAGATTAATAATAGTACAATTTTTTATTATTAGTTCTTACAATTCTATAATGAGTTCTTATAATTCTAAAATGAGTTTTAATAAAAAAGTTCAATTATATATATTATAAAGTTTATAATTACAATTAATGATAATTAAGAATTAATTGAGTTATTTTATTAATTAATGAGGCATTTATATATATATATAAATTTCAATAAAGTAATTTTATTAATCAATTTTTAAAAATAAATCGTTAATAATTTAAATATAGATTATCAATTAGCACTGATTTACTTGCATGATCTTGTTATTGCTGTTCACAAGGGCAAATACTTGGCGATAAATTTTAGGTGTCACTTTAATCTTTGTGTCATCAAGATTATTTTGCTTGAATTTATTTTCCTATGTCTGTTAGCTCTGCGAGAAATGATTTACACTTATTCTGGAGTACTTTAACGGCTTCTGTGAATAGCACGGCCGATGGTAATGTTCCCACAGATTCTATGGTGACTATAAATTAAATACACACAAACATATATACACATACACACACACACACACACATATATATATATATATTTATTTATATTTATATTATATAATAAACTTTCTAGCTGTCATAAGCAATAGTTTCAACTTGCCCAAAAGAAAAAATAATTTGTATAACACACAATGGCTGTAACTCAAATTTTAATTAATTCTTTTTCAATGATTCTAGATTATTTATACTTACAGATAAAATGATCCTTTATCCGACTCAATTCCACACAATTCTTTAGCTGATCGTAACGATAGACGTTTCTGGAACAACTATCATAACGAGCATTTTTAACACGCGCCTCCCGGTACTTCTGACCTGAGTTTGTTTCTTGTTCTACTACTTCTATCACGCCGGGGCTGAAACAACTCTTCAAAAGATCCGCGTCTTCATCTTTCACGGGTTTGACTAGCTGAATGACCGGTAAGAAGCGATATGATGCAGTAGCTAAACATATTATATAATACTTACATAAATAATTTATTTTAAACTTAAAAAAAAACATTATATTTGTCTATCTGTTTAATTTATGATATTTATATTAGAATATGAGAATTAAAGAAATTTTTTGTTCGCAAAATTCTTACGTACCTACGGGAGAAAATTTGGCGTGATCTTTGCCGATGCCTTTAACTGCATGCATAAACAAGTGAATCTCATGACCAGGACGCATTTTACATATTAATATGTCGTTTTCTAAAATACCAATTTGTTCCGTTTTAAACATCTCTGCTTGCCGGCCTATTGGTACCCATTTAATGTCCTTACTGTAAACTGTAAAAAGAATGCTACATGTTATGTATTTTATTTATTATGTTCAGAAACTAATATAATATATTAGGTCTTCTAAACTAACATAATATTAACATAATATTAGATCTTCTTTGTCGTTGCACTGAAGTACACTAAAACTTTCTCGCTTTTGTCATTTCAAATATATATCAATTTCAATTTGAGCATGATATAAGAACATTAACGATGTAAGAATATTAATTTAATATTATTGTTAAACTCTTTTATGTCATGATTTTAAGTACGAGTATATATTAGTTCAGCTAGAAAGAACAAATATTAATTTATAAAAGTCAAATCGTCTAAAATTTTCAACAGCTTGATGACAAAAGAATTTCTTATCAGATGAAAAACTTAGGTTCAGTTCCTGTCCTATCATTTCACACATAATTAATTAGAAAAATATTACATTATGATTAAAATAACGCGTGATTTTGCGTGATAGATTAACTTATTATAAGTTTTGAATTTGATGTCAATTTCATCCCATGTATGTTTTGTTTTACAAGAAATTGGAAAATGAAAAATTATGAGTAAAAGAGTATGAGATAAATGATATAATCCAACTTAGAAATCTATGTTTTATTTACATATTTTATCTTGATTAAGAAATTAAATAAACAAAGATTGTTTTTAAAAAATTTTTGAAATCTGATAGTAATCGAAAATTTAATAATAATAAGAAATTCAGTGAAGTACCTTTGCTACTTTTGTACATATCCTCTGGAAGACGAGAATTCTTAGGTGCTTGTGGATTCATACTGCATGTAACTTTCAACTCGTATCTTAGAGTATCATTATCACTCACTGTATCATCTGTTTTTTTGTTCTTCGGAGGATATTCAAATAATCTAGGATCTGCACGAAGAGGTATAAGTCCCAATCTTAAAAGCAAATTACATGTTAATTTGTTATATACAATTTTCATGGACATAAAAACAGAAAAATCTTGTTATTTCTCTCACCTATGTGCAAGTACTTCATCTTGAATCAAACTAGTATTATTTATGATATAAACCTTCTCAATAGCCATACTTGGTACTTCACTCAGTAATATTCTGCGAAATGCATTAGCTAGCGAAGTATGACAACCAATTATATCAAATTCTATTTCTCGATCTTGTTCTTGTACTATATTTATTTTCAGGTTCTACATTAAGAAAAATATTTTTACACATATTGATATACATATTAATACATAATATATTGTTCTCTTTATTACAATATGTTACCTTTACAAATTTCTCTAGCACTGTTGATTTGTCTGTCGTATTACACATATATTCCTCAAACTGTTGAAACAAATTCATATTATATACATATTTATATTATATACATTATATAAAAAGCAAAATGCCTTTAGCGAATCTTAATAAACTTACATTTTCATATTCTTTCATAATCCAACGCGATTCCCTATTATTCTCCATTGTCTAATATAAATTATACTTTGGCGACTAAGATTTGTACTGTTTTTTCTTCTTCTTTTCAATAATAAGCACTTATTTCTTTAAATATTTTTCTCAACTTACGTCACTCGCATACTTTTTACTGTTTTCTTTTATTAATAATTCTTACTTTTGAAATGCTTCAGCAACTGTAAAGATTTTTTTATTAAAATTTTTGAACAGAATATTAATTTCTACAGAAACTAACAATTGAGAATCTTAACAAAAATGAATGTGTTTTTTACTAAATACAGACTAACTAATCGATAATTAAATTGTCAAATAAATTACTTATTTTTTATAGTTATATAATTTTTTATTTAATATAAATACAAACAATTAAATTAGAAATGACGAATTATAGCAGGAAATTTTAATGTAAAAAAAAAAAATAAAGTTTTGCCGGTTGAAATAAATAAGTAATTGAGATTTAGTCGAAAATCACTGACTCCGAGAGAATAATACAGGAACTGAACGTTAGAATAACGGTAAGTCCTTGTGACACTTTTATCATGTGCAAAACCCAATAAACACCAAAATCTATGAAGTTATCCCACGAAAATGAAAAACATAATTGGATTCCCACGCATCGTCAGTTAATTATCAGTTTACTTTAACTCAACCTCGTTTATCTCTACTTCGTTATTTCATCTGATATTTGAATAACGAGACGATATACACCGCGGAAATAAATTATACTTTACCCAAAAGATATTTCAAACATTCTTAAACTGGAATGAGAGAACAATCACGTGTCTCAACACTACCCGATTACCGGTTGCTTCTCCATTATGGAAAAAGCAAAGCATCAAACCATACCAAACTAGTCCAAGTCCAGAGGAGCAGTGCTTTTTGTTAGAGCAGAGTTGCTAGCAATGCTTTTTTCTGCGCATGCGCGATATTTCAGTGTCATGAATTCGACAATACGCACTTACATAATTTTATTATACATATTTTTTTATCTGCACTTTATATTTTCAAAAAGAACTTTATTTTGCTATAATATGTTTATTAATTTTATAACATAATTCTATGATATAATATACTAGGTTTGTTGCGTTGCTTGAAATCCCTAAAAATGTTTGCATTTAAAAAGGGATAAATATATATTCAGGCGTTGAAAAGAGAGAGAACGACGATGTTAAGTGCAAGCAACGCGGACAAACCAAATAACGCACTACATGAACACGGAGCTCTCTGTCTACTATTGTCCTGTTGGTCAAATTTTGAAGCATAAGGGGAGAAAGAAAGAAAGAGAGAGAGAGAGAGCGAGAGAGAGAAGAATGAGTGCAAGTGCAAAGAATAAACGAGAAAGTGCAAGTAAAATTGATAGTAAATGTGTGTCACTTGTCAGTTGTTGTTTAGAATGTAAATAAAAACGTAGTAACGTATAATTTGAGTTTAACACAGACGAGATTCACGATTATGGTCAATCTGGATGAATATAGAGAGAGTGTACGACAACTCAAACAATATGCGGCCGTTCACAATGTATCGGAGGCGCAAACGTCGGAAATATTTCAAGCTTGTTTCCGACAATTGGAAGCTAAGTACTCGAAAAAATCGAAGAAACAATCGAGATCTCTGCGAATTATCTTATCACTCGTTTTTATCTCCATCATACTGTTATGCTTATGCCAAAGCTGGTTAAACGTTATATTTATAAGAATCTCGCAAAACTCCATTTATCCCACTTTATATACATTGCGTAAAGCGGCTGTACCAATTGTCAGCCTATATCCGTCGCTATCTGGTTTGTAATTCTCGAATGATTAGTATATATTACGTTTTATTAGAATAATATAAAAAGTTATAGTATATGGAAGTATCTTAATGTTTACATATTTAATAATTTTTATTACTTCAGAATTATACGACGAATGGTGCTTGATAGAGAATCCATACTTCTACGTCAACGATATGGACTGCTGGCCTTGCACTGTGGTCCATTCTGTACTAGATTTAACTGGTCACAATATCAGTAGATCCTTTAACATCGGTATACCATATACTAGAGCAGAAAATAATACAACTGTCAAGATGAAAGATCTAGTTAATTTATATTGGAGCAACCAAGATGTCTTTGATGAAGATGCTAAAAGAATTTTTTCTACCAATGAAACTTTTAAGTAAGTTTCCACGTATACTGTTAGAAATTTTGTTATGAATTTAAGTAACATATAAAGGAAGCTTGTGGTTATGAGGTAACTGAAGTAATAAATGTTTAACTGAAAACTAAGTCACAGTTTTAAATAAATGTGTGTATTCAATTACATGCAAATCTACATAAAATTTTATGGAAAGTATATTAAATTTCTTATACGTGTACATGTACTTTTCAGTTACAAATATATTAAATTTCATGATATTTTTAAGTGTATCCTCTAAAATCTTTTAAATAGAATCTCACTCTAAAGATTAAATGAGTGGCAGAAGTTTCAATCATTAAAAGAGAAATTGTACTCTAAAAAGAATTTAGAAAGTATATTAATTCAAATTTCTAATTATATAACATCTATCTGATCAAACTATATGTGTTATATATTTGCACAGAACTATCCATGATGTTATGGATAATAGATTGGATATCTTTCACACTGCTTCTCTTTCTACTCACATATCTTGGAGAATAAATCGTATGAAGCCCAATAGAATACTCCGAAAGTTATTTCCAAAGCCAGCGGAGACTCCAAATTGGTGGAGTCAAGGCACAGAGAAATATATTTTCATTGACGAGTCGGAATCACCGGCTTATCCATTGGTAGGTAATGCGTTCTAATTGTTATATCTTAGCACGTCTTAGGTATAAGTCAATTTATGAATTTTTAGCCCAATCCTGAGTGTAGCAATATTGTGATACGATGCGTAGCCGGTGCAAGACTGATAAAAATGACACCAAGCTCGGAATGCGTTCAACATTGTAGATCTTCAACCATCTTATTGTCTGCTGGACATACATGTGAGTATTAGAGACCATAAATAACTTGCGTTCTTTTTTTTATTTCTATTTTATTTATATTGTACATTTTATTTTCTTCTTTTATGTTCTTAAGTATGGTACAATTGGTGGTATTGGAGACCCGTGAGTCTACCAGTGTATAATGCTACTGCTCTTTCTATTGGTTATTTAACTTCGTTTTGTTAATATCACCGATAGAAAAAATATGTACCACATGTAGATATGTACCACAACAATGTAGCTAATAATTGATGAAGTCATATTTAATAAAATTTATTAAGTTCATCTGCATTTTTCCTTCGTATTTACGTTAATTTCAAATATTTATTCGTGCATATAAGATTGTTTGCAGATTTAGATTTTTCGAGTAGAGTATTATTTCTGACAATACAATAACGCATGAAATAAAAAATGAAATTCAGCATTCTATCAACAAAGAAATTCCTGAGATCATTTCCTGGCATAATGTTGTCTAAAATATAGGCATATTTGTGACACTCATAATAAAATAAGTCTGTTTCCACTTTCGCCTATATTTAGTTTACATTTTTAAATGTCTCCACATAATCAAAACACACTTGTAGAAATAAATTACAAACAACAATAAATGAGTTATGCAAAAATTGTTGTGCTCGCAAGAATTTGTCGCACTATTTTGTACGTCTAATTCATATGTCCAAATGTAAACAACTACACGGTGCGAAAAAGCGGACTCTAATCCCAATTCGCATTCGATATATTTTTTTTTTCAATTTCCTAAGAGATTATCAGAAGATTCTGCTCCATGATAGGAAAATTTTCCTCGTAAAATATCGGATTGTCACCTTGATGGTATCGTCAATGGAGCATTGTGGCGTTTACTCGAACTTCTGCTTCAGCTTCTGCTTGTACAACACAGGTAGTAGGGAAAACAATGCAAACACACACAGTACGATTACACTGTTCCACGACAACGCATCCCTCGACGACGTGAGATTGTGCAACGTTTGACCCGCCTGTATGGCGACGAAAGAAGGCGGCGCGACGCCGAAGAAGGTGCCGACAGTGAACGGCATTATCGGCACACCAATTACCGGGCTGGCTACATTGATGAACCAGTTTGGCAGTAACGGCGTCATCCGGAGGAACAGCATATAGTTTAGTAGATTATCACGATGTTTGATCACGGTAATGGTCCACTCGTTTACTTTTTCTGGAAAGAATTTGTACAGCAATCGCCTGCCTATCAATGAGGACAGCAAGTAGCACAGAGTGGCGCCGATCGCACTACATGTACATACGAGTATCAGCGCGACCGGGAAACGGAACAGAAATCCGGAAAGAATTGAAAGAAAAATAGAGCCAGGAATGGCAAATGTTTGCAGGCTATTGAGATATGATGTAAGGAATACATTGTGTATCTTAATAGGATCTTTTTCGGAAAATGTTCTGATACTTAAGTTGAAGTGAAACAAGTATAAAATACAGTCAACATCTCACTGTAAATACTGCGAAGCATTGATTGAGCTAATAAAAAAAATTTACTAATTGTTTCATCAAAGAAAGCTGTGAAGCATTTGTAGCATAACATTGGCTGTACAGCTTTTATTTCAACTTATCACTCCAATGTACACCAGTTCAGAATAGATTTCGAAAAAGGACAGATTAAAAGCAAAGATATGTGACTAGTGCCCGTATTCATAATCAAGACCTTATACTTAAGGCTTCCTTAAATTTATGTTTAGGTGCTGAGCAGTCAATGAAATAATTCGTAGAGTATCTAAAGATATATTTAAGTAAGCCTTAAATATAAGACCTGACAATGAATATGAGTATAGAATATTCAAGGATACAAGATGTATATGATAAACAGTCCGGCCAATACTTGGAAGTAATATAAATCCTTATATCGTTCTAACAGTTTTCCCAAATTCTTGGCATCTTCTATGTGAATCGGTAGCTTCATATGCTGCCTTTCATTTCTATAAAAAGAATATACAAAAGCTCCATTATTATATCTAGTACAATGTACAAAATGTGAACACAAAGATGAATGATTGTTCTTACTCTTCTAAGTCTGGAAAACTCGTGTACACATAAAATAACGCAGCCAACGAGGCTACAAAAATGAGTCCAACAATTATTACTGCTCTTGTTGAAATTTCACCATTGACTGCTTCGGGCACTCCTACAAAAAATATAAAAATATATATATTTATATATTAAATATATTTAATATAAAATTTAATTTTATTAATCTTTCTATTGCAACTTTCGTGACTAAACAAAAAAAAAAAAAACAATATATTTTAGCTGCATTCGGTTTTGCAAATCAGAGACATAATCATTCTATTCTTGTTCACTGAATTCGGAACTTCTGATTTGCGAAATCCAATGCGGCTATTACATTTAATTTCAAAATAAAAGAGAAACTAAAATACATGAAATTAAATAAAGGGCAAATCGAAAAATATATCAAACCTATAATAGATATATAAATACAATAAGTCACATAAATACTGAGGGCCACGTGGGTTCATTGATTTTTTTTTTTTTTACTCTACTATCATCGAATTACTTACGCGCTTTTACACGTGTCACTTTGAGATTGCGTCGCGCCATTTCTGATATACGTGCACGTTTGCTGATCGACATCTAAACACGCCACTTCCCGGCACATTTTCCTCGCAAAAAACAATCACGCGATCGCGATGTCTCACCTGATCTTACGTCAGCTTGCGGCCTCATTGTTCGCCTTTCTCCGGATATCGTTTTCGCGACGAGCTCGGTTTCTATAATCCGCGCGTTTTCTCGTCCAGTCTCGTCTCAGTGCATATCGTACGAATACAATTGACGTGTAATATCAGCGTCAGAACGGCTGCACCGTGACAAGAAAGATCTTCGAATCACAAGGCTGATAACAGCTTCCTTCGCTTTTAGCGAAAATCAGCTGACAGCCTCGTGTTGTCTCGGCATTGGATGATTGGACACGTTTTAACCATAGACTGCGCGTTTCCGTTATAAGCATGAAGATCGTTAAACACGTCGGCAATGTAGTTTGCACGTTTGCACTTTCAATCATCTCTTCATATGCGAATTTTTAAGTTTCATATTGTTCCGGTCTCATAAAAATCTAAAAAAATTCTTGCATGTGAAAAAGCTTTAATAATAAGTTTTTGCTATATAGATCTCAGATTGTATTTCATATTAATTTTTTTACAAATTTATGTACCAGAATTCGCAATTAAAATAGACATTATAGACAATTCAAGACAGTTCAAGTTTGTTAAAATGTTAATAAGATCGAGAGAAGAATAGTGAATCTGTGTTTTTCTTACAATTGTTTATTATATATGTATAATATAATGATGGGAGAAAAGGAAAACAATTTATATATCCTTTTGTTTAGAAATAGATGTAATACGTGTTATAGAACAGATTTGCTATAGTATATCGACAATCAGTAAGGTAGTGATTGATACAATTAATTTAAAAAAGCATTTTTCGATCCAATTAATCACTTTTTAACGTTCTTTATTATTATTATTATTATTATTATTATTATCATATTAACCGTGAAGTTTAAATTGAAAAAATAAATTTGTTTGAAATATATTATATACGGAGAAAATTTTATATTTAAAATTACTATAATGTGGTAGTAGCTGCGGACTGCCATGACAATTATAAGTTTAAATGCTACAGTTATTTTTTTAAAAAGAATAATTTTTACACTTTTTTATAGTAAAAATTTTGTATTACAAAATCGAAGTTTGTTGAATAAAAGTTAGTATTGTAAAGATAAATAAAAAATATATACCTAGCAAATTTTGTTTGCGTTCCATAGTAGAAATTAACTGTTTTCATGTTAGAATATGGTTTAAGCGCTGGCTTTTAACAAAAATTACTTTATTTATGTGATAAAAATTAGTATTACCATAGTAAAAGTTATGTTGGAATCATGTTGTGATGGTCCATCGAAAATACAAGACATAATAAAGTGTAATTTAAAATTGTATTAAAATACTTAATACAAAATTTTCTCCGTGTAGTGAATATCAAGTAACATAACATTAATGTTATAATTTCATGCTTATATAATAGTGTAACTGTTGTGTAATATATATTACGCTTTTACTGTTGAATATAAAATGATACATTATGTTATATTACTATCATATTTAGTGTTTACAAGGATAACGACTTTGTTCGTTCCTCTACAGCACAAAGTTGCACAAAAGTTGCAGCAACACTGTGAAAAATGACAATGAAATCGACGTCGGCTTGATGCTTTTGATGTCGAATCCACATCGATTCGATGTCGATTTCATTATCATTTCTCATTGGGACTACTGCAACATTGCAGCAACGTTGCATGTTGCAGCAATATTGCAGAGATTTTGCTGCGATATTGATGTATGAGTTTTTTAATTTTGTAATAAAATTATTTTAACGACCGTTCAAGAGTAGGAGAAAATTGTATCGCTTAAGGGAAACAGAATGCATAATTTGTTTAAAATTTTTTATCAAGATAAGATATACCTATACATAACATTATAATTATGATTTGAGCTGTGACTCGTATAGTATATTTCAAGCAATCGACAGTTCTTTTTTTACTCCTCGATAGGAATTATGAAGAATATTCTCGTCTATTTCGGTACTTCCTTTCCTTTCCTTTCTTACTACTCTGCCACTCTTCGAGCAGTTGAAAAGTGGAAAACACGAGACTTTACGGGATACGATTAAAATAATTTCCTTCTTGACGTCTTTCGAATGGAATGTGTAAAAGATCTAATTATACTCTTATGCATTCAAAATTGCCAATTTCATCGTCAATAATGATTAAAAACATGAAAAAATAGACAAAATATTAATAATGCTTACATTATGCGAATCAATTTTAAAAAATTTTAAATTTTTAGAGATTCTATAAAACAGATAAAAAAATCACTTTCAAGTTGTGCAAGAAATTTATGTGTACAAGAAAGAGTGAGGCACTTGATATAAAGAACGAAATGTTTTTCTAATCTTAATTACTACTATCGACTGAGAATTATGCTACTATTAATTTTTTAATTTTTATTTTAGTTTTTTGACCTTAAAAAATAGCGCATATCAGAAAGTAAACAATAGTTTAAATTAAAAATAATTTAAATTTAAAAAAATCTTTTTTTAAGAGTTTTACAAAATTAACTTAAATATCCAATCCCAAAAGGAAAACATAACATTATAGTAAGATCAAACTAACATCGTATTAAAACATTTTAGGAAAATCATAATGATGCTATTCGATACACTTTTAACAATGATTTTGTGATGAATTCTTAATATAACAATGCCATTTGAATTAATTTTTTAATTAAAAATTATATTATGTAAAAAATTCATCGAAAAATCGTCGTTAAAAGAGTGTAAAAATGGGTATAATATCGTTATGATTTTTTAAATAATAATTTCTACTTGATATCATCTTGATCTTATTATATCTTGATCTTATTATGATATATTTTATCTAGGATTTAAATAAATATTACACGGTTATACATATACATATATTTAAACTGAAAGCTAAAAGAAATTATGAAAATAATGCATATATTGTGCTAATAATGCATATATTGTGTTAGAATATTATTAATCTATAAATCCTAATATTATTATATATTTCACGTGATGTTAAAATGTAATTTGTAATTATTCTACATTTTTCACTTCTGTATATTTTACTATGTAAATAATATTCAATGCGACACAATCGTCGGCACTGTTTGATACAATAACATAGAAAGGAATACGGAAGCGGGCGGAAGGAGAGAGAAAGAGAATAAAAGAGTAAGAGAGTAAAATCGAGAGAAATAGGTAAGGCTCTCTCCTTCGTTCGTTGACGACAGACCAGCTCCAGATGCTGTCTGCCGAACTAAACGTAGCAAACGTATGTCAAGATCACGCTGGAGCGATGCTTTGGGACATCTCGCCATGGGAAAAGAACAGGAAGTGGAAACATCTTTTGACGTGAACTCCCGTAGGAATTGCCTGGATCGATTCAGGAGCGGACTAAACAAGTAGATTTAAAATGTATTTACTTTTCGTTGTGATAATTGAGCTTAAAATAATAATAATAGAAATATATAGGAATAACATTTATAGGCAGTATACATTAAAAATAAAACAAGAAATTAAAAAGTATCAAGAATGTTTTGGCTACGCAACATTAGCTAAAAGTGTCTGTTAAAGATCAGCTAAAAAAGTATTTATATATAATTAATTAATAGTAAAACATTTATTTAAATTAGTTAATTAAAAACTTGTATCATAAAAATATATCCTAATACTATCTACAAAAGAAATAAATCGACTAATAATTTAGCTTCATGTGCAGCGAATTGATAATATTTTACTGCAGTTTTATACCATGCAAAATATACTCTACTTTTTTTAAAGATAAATGTGATAATTTTGAGATAAAAGATTACTATATAATTTAAGATTTAGAATAATCATTATAATTTAGGACTTAAAATAATTATCCAAAAGAATCTCAATAAACACGCAAATCTTACAGACATTTCGAAAGGCGACTTAAAAGAGACGTCTGTAAAACTTTTTTGAAAAGATGACTCTTTTGAAAGATGACTTTAAGCTGACTTTCAGTCAAGTTTTAAAGACAACCTTTTTAAAGATGTCTTTCAGACTTAAAAGAGACGTCTATAAGACTTTTTCAAAAAACGTCTTTAGGACGACTTTTAATCAAGTTTTAAAGACAACCTTTTTAAAATGTCGTTCAGACATCCGTTTAAGTCATCTTTCAGATCATTGTTTTAAGATATATATTTGAGAACAAAAGATAAGACATTTTTATAAAATAATTCGTAAAGTTGAACTGGTGATATAATGCATTTATAACATATCGTGCTTTAGTTGCTTATTTGATTCTTTCGACTACTTTTTGCTTCCGGCAATTCCAGCGGAACGCCAAACCGTCTAAATAGTAAATGTGTATATTGCAATATCTTATAAATATTGAATGAACATGTTCCGGTATACATTGTCAGCACTGAAAATCTATAGTAATCGTGACGTAAATTGTAGATTTTCGAATATCTATAATTCACGTTATGTATATTTGAAGATTTTCAATACTGTCAGTATATATCGGAACTCGGCCAATATAACTTATAGAAATCGTAATGTCCAAAATTAGTCTGAAAGACGTCTGAAGAATGGCATCATAGAATATCTCAAAGACGTCTTATAGACATTATAGGGGGATTCTCTGAAAGACAACCATCAAAATGTTCAAAACATGTCTTATATGACGTCTGACAGACATAAGATATCTTAAAGACGCTGTAAAGACATCTTTTAGTAAAAAATGTCGGACGTCCGAGGGAATTTTAAGTCGTTTTAAAGGCGTTCTTTAAGACGCCTTATTGTTTACTGGGATGTACAATATGTTTCAAATAAATTTAAAGTAATTTAAATTTTGTGCACAAAACCAATGCGTCCGGTGAATCGTGGTTACATTCGAATGGTTCGCATTGAATGCTGCTAGCCTTGTTGACTGACGCTTCCGAAAGCAATAACGCGTACATGTACGCGTATGTACATGTACGCCTCGTCACCGTTAACTAGTCTCGCTCCTCCACCCGTTTCCTTCCGTTTTCCTAATTCCGTTTCCTGATTCGTAACGCTCGGCGGACCGGCGGCGAGTACGCGAATAACGAAAGCCGCGTGAATGAAATGATCATATATTAAGTTTCTTCGACGGGGCGCGGGGAATAAATTTACACCTGTAAGTCCGAATAATATCGCCGTTGCGATCGCGCCGGTAATGAGCCCCGCCCCGAGATGAATTAAGGCACCCGAAATGATCTTCTTCTTCTTCTTCTTCTTCTTCTTCTTTTTAAGTTTTAATTGGCATTTCCTTCTGCCGAAAGCAACCTAGCATTCCAATGTGAAACAAATAGAATTCGTAATCGAACACTT